TATGATTCACTAATCTTGGATTGAATGGTGTGGGTTAGGCACTTATGACACATCCTAAAATTTGAGTAAGGAGAACCTATGATCTAAAAGTGAGTACGGGGAGTCTTTGGTCAGGTGACCCCTCACAATTGGAGTGTAGGGCTAATCCAGTCACACAAACTAGACCTATATGAGTTGTTAACCCATAGGTTCAGTTAGAAGATATAAAGGGGGATATAAGGTGGTTGCATTGATCATGTGACATATTATCTTGTGTGATAATGTGATTAATGTGTGATTGACTTATGTGATATAACTTGCCTATTTGTTTATATGTGTCATACTTTAATATATTTTAATTAAATTTTTTGGTTACTGAGATTGTTTAATTTCACTCTCGTTTGATAATATTTTTACAAGAGACAATAAGGATAAGGAAAAGGGGAAGGCATCGATGCCACAGAACTAGAGCTTATATTGTAAAGTCTCTAGTTAATCTATATGTAATTGACATTATTTTGCCAACACTAGAGTTTTTTATATTGATTTATGTTTATTTGAAGTTCACTTGTAATGGTAGCATTAAACTTTGATTTTAGGCATTTTTGAATTGTTTTAGCTATAGTAGGGTCCTAACCCTTAAATTGACTATGGTAGTGGGCCAAGATAGTTTGAACAAGTATATTTTAACAAGTGAAATGAGTTTTACATGTGTTGAGTAATTATTTAACTTGAATGCAAAAAATTACATTTTTACCCTTGCATTATGTCTCTTATAGAGGCTGAGCGGTCAATTCTTGTATTAAGAGTTGTTTGATACTTTTAACTATCTAAACAAGTGTATTAGGACTTATTAAGTGTGGTTCAAGTCTTATGTGGGCTAATGGCTTATAATTTGAGATTTAGACACTTGGGTGATAGTCTAAAGACAAAAATGTGAAGTTTCAATTTCGAGTGTCCAAATTCTTCATTGGATATTGGATTGATATAAAACCAAAACCATTTACTAGATTATGAAATTTTTAATGTGTTGAATCACCTTGATCAAAGGTTTGAGTCAAAAGTTATACACGTCGGAAGCTATTATGAAAAATGCTGTCATGAAGTCTTAGCCGTAGCCAAAGGGTGGCCGAGAGAATTTGGTCATAGCCAAAAAGAAATTGACTGTAGCCAAGTCTTTACTAGAAGTGTTGGCCGCGGCTTATTATGCTTTAGCTATAGCCAAGTACTACTGTTAAGCAAAAATGACCATTTTTTACTATATTTTGACTTGTTTTCAACTCTAATTAATATTCATACTTTTCAAATACTTTTTACTTTAATTTATAATGTTTAAATAACCTCTTAAACTTAATTTTGAGATTAAATAATTAATGATATCTCATGAGTTTTTATATGGCCAAGGTTAATCTTTTTCTTTCCATGATATCTCTTATTATTGATTTAATTAGTTGGAATTATCATGGAAGCTTTACCTTAAGGTTAATTTTTATGCTAGTTATGTGTTTAATTAATAGAGATATTACAAATAGCCTACTTAAATTAGAGTCCAAGCCAATCACAATGTAACCTAAATCTAGAATTACAAAATGAAGTAAAATTAAAGAGCTAGGTCAAATTAATCCTTAGCTAAAGATGAAAGTGTAGAACCATGGCTCCTCCTCCTTCATTCTCCCTCTAGAAACCAAGAATGCCTTAGCCTTCAAGTTATGTAGAAGTCTCCTTCAAGTTCTTGAGCTGATCGAAATGCTCTATGACTTTAAGTAAAGATTAAGGCTTTAGATAGAAGATCAAATGATAGGAATGTATAGAGCATGATGAGAGGAGAAGAATGGTTATAGTTTTGTGAGGATCTAATGGTTGAATGTGGAGATGGATTGAGAGAATTCTAGAAAGAAGGAGGAAAAAATGAAGAACCCTAAGAACTAGAGAGAGAAAATAAAAGATGAAATGAAGAAGATGAATGATTAGTGAATGAATCTAAAAATATAGTGTAAGGGACATGCACCTTGGTTTCTAATCAAATTACCTCTCAAAATTAATTCTAAAATGAAATTAAAAGGGTTAGGGAGCTTCACACTATGTGCACATGCCTTGAAGTAGAGCTGTACAAAGGATATGACGGCATTGAACTTTGGCCTAATCCTAAGTCCAGTCTCTTTCACGAAAAGGACTGGATTAGGCAACCCGTAATCCGGTCTTGTCCAATGATAACCCGAAGATTAATAGGACAGGACTTGATTTATAAAATTGGGAGACTAGTCTTGTTAGTTTAGTACTTACTTAGCTTTTTTTCCTTTTTTCTCTATGAGAGGCAATAATCTATTTCAACTAAATAAACTCAATTAAGATAGTAAAAATACTTATAATAATAATAATAATAATAATAATAATAAATCCATAATAATTTGCAACAACAAAAAAAATATTTCTATTATAGTCCAAATGATTTAAATTTATAACTTTAACAAAAACAGTATTCAACAAACTTCAACAACACTACATTATAACAATAATTTAGAAACAAACTCAATAAATCTTCATACAATCATCTCCTTAGCATTAATTACACTTAAAGCATTTGTCAAAAATAAATTAATTATAACTATAATAAATAAATTAATAGGACTGGACAGGATCAAGTGGTCGAATGCCTAGTCTCTTGTCCAGTCCAACTCGAAAAAATAATTTAGTCTTTTCAATCTTTTTAGTCTTTAAGGACCAGTATTTATACGAATCGAACAAGACTGAGACCATCTCGGGTTAGATTGGGTCAGACAGGACTGGATGAACTTTGCACAGCCTTACCTTTAGGTGACACTTTCTCATTAGTTGGGTGATAATTTCTATACTAATATGAATAATCTCATGCTTTGCACTTAGAAAATTTCATCTACCCCATCCTTTCAGCCATTTGCATGTCACTTTATATCTATAATGTTCTTTTACACTTCCTTGACCAATTGATACAAATCTAAGTGCATATATATCACCCATGTCACATGTTAAATAAAATTAAATCAAATAAATGTATGTGAAATAACAATTCATATTTTGGCACATGAAATTAATTATTTAGATGGGAGAACAATAATAAAATATATTTCAAGGGCTGCTCCACATGAAAACATGATACACATACATATGCACAAAAACCTAATGAGGTCAACAACCCTAATTTATAATTTTTAATTAATATCTTCCAAATTAAATTGAACTTTTGAAATCTAATTTCACATTCATTCTCATGGGCATAAAAAAGAGACTAATTTTCTTGTATATTTTTTCAAAAGTCAAAATTTTGAACGAAAATATTCTTATTGCATAACTTGGCCTCTTAGATGACTTTCTTACTTTTAATACTGTACATACATCAAAATGGAAAATATAACATGTAAAATGGGTCTCAATGACTATATAAAGTGTGTAAATAATGTGTCTTATCACTAAAAAATTAATAGGTAAAATTATTGCAATAATCAAGAGGTTTATAAATTAGGTTTATACATACGTACGTATGTATGTTACATACATACATCTATTTATTTATACATTACATAATTAAAGAGGTTTCATGGTTTGGCGGTCATTAGTTTTTGATGAGCTAAGAGGTCATGAGTTTAAACTTACTTAGCTGCATTTGAAAATTTTAATTCTCAATAATCTTCCAACTATCACTGATGGTGGTTCGGTTGGTTGCCATTGTCGGTGAGGTTTTAGCCACTGCTAGCAATGATGGCCAGTGATTTTCCTTTTTTTTTAAATAAATGAAGTACATTTTGATCATTTCTTGTAAAAAAGCTAATGCTGAATTTAGTCCTTTGGGTATGCAGTGTAAATTTAGATTTTTGTTGGGTTTAATTTGTTATTAAGTTATATCTTTGGTCCTTAAATAAAATTCTCTATTTTTTTATTTGTTTGGAGCCTTAATCTCATCACTTTAGACTGTTCATTTCTTTCCATCCATCTGCTTTACTGGCCGTTTCATTCTGATTTCATTGAAAATTTTAAAAACAAAAAAAGTTATGATCTTTTTTTATTTTTACAGAAAAGGTTATTTTTAAAATAATTAAAATTATAAATTTTTAACGAAATATTTCATAAATTTTTAAATGACTTTAGTCTTTAAGTATAATTATAATTTGTCAAAATTGTTTCATGTAAAATTCGGGCATTGAAAAGTAATTGTTCCATTTGCTAATCACACAAACCACCTTTTTTACAACCACTCCTTTAAAAAAAAAAAGAAAGAAAATGTAAATTTACATTTATATCTAATAAATAAATTTTGTTCCGTAAATATTGAGGGCGCTCCTGCCAAAAACTGCCTTTTGATATTCTTGATAAATGAGACAGAGAAAAGAAAATGGAGCGAGGAGAAGTGTCTTTTGGGACTAGGTCAAATTTTCTTCTTCACCGTTCATTCATTCATTTATAATACCCTCTTAAAATGAGAATACATTTGAGAATGACAGAAACATAATAACCACAGCCATGCTTAAGCTTCCGGTTTAATTTCTTTTTTCATTTGCATCATTGCATGTTCAAATTTCAATATTCTCTCACTCTTGGTAAGCTTCGTCGTGTTTATTTTAAGTACATTTTACCTTAATATATAAAGTTTCTGGTTACACATTTCTGCTGCTGTCTCTAGGTTTTTCGTGGCTGGTGTATTCTTTTATAGTTTGTACGTATTATCCACGCTCCTTCTCTTTTATCCAAATCTTTAAATCTATAACCTACAGTGAGTGTAAAAATATTAAGAAAAATTAGAAGTAATGAACAGTCCTGGCCTCTCTATTGTTGGAAATCTTTATTTCTTTATCATATTTTCTTATCGTTGTCCTCCATGAGTGGGGAAGGCCGGGCAAATCTGATTTGAAATTTCAGGAAGCGGGTCTTCAAGAAAAGGTTAGGTTTCCGTCTTCGACGATGGGCCCTACCTCTCCATTTCTTTTTTACGCTGATATAATTTTAGTTAATACAAGAAATATTCGATATAAAGTGAAGGACTGTGTATATGGGAATATATAGTTGTGCCAGATCGTCTGGGCGATAGCCGTAGCCGTCTAAACAGAGCATGAAGTGAAGGAGGGACATTTTGCGTGTCGTTATTGTCGTGTCCTGAAAGGGTTTCTTCTTTTGAGTCTCTGATTATTTCAAAAAGCTTGAGCTTTAATGGGTTCTTCGTACTGTTGCATCCTCGGGACTCTGGAGGGAATTCATAGCTTTGACAGTTATGCTGTGCCATTCCTTCTTTTCTTTCTCTCGGTCTTTATTTTTCTATCTCCCAGCTTCTGCCTGGGAGTTATTTCGTCAGCCCTGGTGGTTGTGGCTCATCAACCTCGTGGTTTGTTTCTGTTCTCCGAGATAATCTAACGTGTAGTGATGTTGACGGCCTTTTGAGCCATGTTTTCCACATTCTGCTACTGTACTTTTCAGTTTCTTTTCTTTTCTTTCTTCCTTTTCTTGTCTTTCAGCGCCCCACCACCCCGCCCCAAAATACTTTGTTTTTCTTGATTTCCTTTGTCTGCATGTTGGTCAATCATAGCTTTTGACTGCTTAAGTTTTTCGTTTCTTGGAGTTTCTTTGAAGTTAATTGGTTATCAACTTACTCTATGATTGTCTTGTCCTTGTTATTGTTGTTCTTTCGATTTTCTACGTCGACTGACTCCTGCAAGGATAAATGTTGCAGCGCTACAACAACTGGAAAGATTATTGCTTTTTGTATTGGCGAACACTGAAGTGAAGGGTCGGGTTACTAAAGAAAGTCGTTCCAAATGGCATCAACATCGGGTGTCCCCAATATTCAATTCCCTGTGACAGAGTCAGCTTCGAACTATTGTCTGTATCCTGCTCCTCTTGCAAAATTTGATGATGTTGCGGCTGATCGCAGGCTCTTTTTGCATTCCTTGGAGAAGCTCCACAAATATATGAATTCCAAGTTCTTGTAAGCTAGCCCCCCCCCCCTTTCATCCTCAGTGTGCTAAATTCCCTTACAACTTTACAGAGCTAGGATTCGAGTTCTTTAAAGTAAATCAATGATTGGAAGTTCAATGGAAATGCATTGTGTAAACAGTGTTAGCCCTTGGCTTTTTAATATTTATTATATTGAAATTGTGAAAGCGTATGGTTTTTCCTTGTCATTATTTCGAAAATTACAATATGCTGCCATTCTGCCAAGTCCTTGTTCTGTGGATTAATATCATGTTGCGATTTTGCGTTAAAGGAATTATGATTTTTTTTAGTAGCTCTGCTGTTGCAGGGTCTGCAAAGGCCTTGCTCAGTGTGTGGTCTAAGGTTTTCTTCTTGGTGTACTTTGGCCTTTTGTCCAATTATTCAAGGATTTTCGTCACAATTGCCTATTGACAATACTTTGTATATTTTGTTTCAAATTTTGGAATGTTAGACGAAGAAAATTACCAGACAATGCTTGATTATGTATAGTTCTGGTTTATCAGTCTCTTCATGCACTTTGGTCTTTTCTTCAATGTTTAATGTAATGAAAGAATAAAGGAATAGTGACAAAAGAGCCAAGCTGATAAATGATAAGGTGCTATTCTTTGACTTTAGTATAGACTTGGCCATGGATTTTGCAATTCTAGTCTGTTGAAAATTTTGATTACAATCATTTGCCTAAACACTTAATTTTTCAGAGTGATCCTTAAATACAAGTTGGATTGACTCCTTGAAATTTCTTTTGTCAACCTTAATTTTGCCAAGTTGGATGCCCACTTCTTCCTCATTTCTGTTTTGCTTTTCGTTTCCTCTGAGGTATTCCATTTTATTTCCTTGCCTTGGATTGTAGTTTGGACAATGTCTATATGTTTGTCTATTAGTGTTTTTCTGCTTTTACTCGAGCAAAGCCTTGGGACATTGTATCAGGAATAATCAATGTTTATTTAAATATCATGTATACAGGAATGATTGATGTTTTCTTCATTGACAACTTGTCTCTGTTTCTACTTCATATGTTTTTAAGATATATTGCTCACAAAACCTTTTTTTTTTTTTTTGAAAGAGCTCACAAAACTATACTTGAATAAACATTGTTGCAACATGTTTAGTCCCTTTTATTTCCTTTGACAACTTGTTTCAGCATTCCCGTTATGGGGGGAAGAGAACTAGATTTGCATCGGCTTTTCTTGGAAGTGACTTCTCGTGGAGGCATTGAGAAAGTATGTGAATGATTGAATGTTTATTGTTGTTGGTGTTAAATATTTTCGGTAACTTGTTTTGCATTGGTGCGACTGATTGTGAAATCTTAAAACTGCAATGGCCTTTAGTATCAATCTTCAAGGATATAATTTTAAATGCAATGAAGTAACTAACTAAAGGGAGACATAATATTTGTAAACCAACACCCTTATAACCAATCAGATTTTAATAAATGTTCGTATTGATAATTGTTATGAACTGATATCAAATCTTTATTTATTTAAGTGATGCAAAATGTTACGTTGTTTAAATTTTGTATCGTCTGATCTTGAGAACTTAGAAAAATTATGTAATAAGGATAAAAAATTAATTGATCATAGCAAATTTCAACAACCATAAGTCAATGCATTATATCAACAATAAAAAATAATAATCAAGTCAGAACAATAATTCATCAAATATAAAAACTCACTTGAATGTTGGATCTCTTAAAAAGATGTGTGCAATGATTAATTACTTCATCAAACATAAGTTTGGTTCCCTGATGATCAAATGTGGTTTCAGATTTTAGTATTAAAGCATTTCGCTGAAAAAAGTCAATCTTTTTTTTGGGTCAGAGAAAAAAGTCAATCTTAAATGCACAGTGCCTGCATAGAAGATAAAGCATTCATCTGTCTAATCAAACAGTATATTCATAGTAGCCCTAACAACATTCAACAGAATCTTTTACTTCATGAAATCAGGTACCTGCAAGTCAAGATAACCTGTTTATCATGGCCTTTTGTTTAACATTTCTTATGTTTTTGTAATGAAATCTTGATAATCAATGATGCAAATGTTGCATTGAATGGGAATGAAGTTGCAATTCATGATGCAAATGCCATACAACTTGAGAACTTTGTTCATTATACTATATATACATGCAAATTGTTGGTTTTGTTTGTTTACAGTTAATTAGTGATAACTCCTAAATAATCTAGTTAATTTGCTGCACAGATTATAAGGGAGAGAAGATGGAAAGAAATAACTGCTGTTTTCAAATTTCCATCTACAGCTACAAATGCTTCTTTTGTGTTGCGGAAGTACTATTCTTCATTGCTTTACCACTACGAACAAATGTACTATTTTAAGACCCCAGGATGGATTCCTACAACTGGTCTGTGCGTTTAATCCAAATGTCTTGATTCCAGGGCATGTTTAAATGCATAGAATAACGATTGGTTTCTGTCAGATGATTCGAGGAGTCCATCGAAAGTGCCAGTTCCTGCTCCGCGAAAGCAGCAGTTTTTGCATCCCCTAGTTAATGCCTCTGAATTGCCTGAAGGTATCCTTTTTCCATCTAAATATAAGATTGATTACTAACTTTGGAGAAGAAAAAGTTGCTAGTCACACAAATTGTGAGGCCCATCTATTAATCCTCTTTCAACAATGATGAAATGATTAAACCTTGTGGAGCAGACTCTTAGCATTTGAAGTCAGCATCTCTACGTCAAATGATTAATCTTAGACCAAAATATTTTTGTATGGTTTCAACAGATCATGTTAATCTACTGCCTAGCATTCCTAGTGTGATATCTTTTTGCATGCCTTTCTGATCTTAACTTTTGTCTCCCTGAGATTTGACACTATAGATCATCTTTTGAACTACTTAAGTTATTTACGGCAATCACTTGAACTGGACAGACTTTTGTATGTATAAATGATGATATGGAATGTAGATATATTAATCAGATGTGGATGTTATGACTGAAAATAATTTCAGGATATGGTTGCTGGAATGGTTTGACCTAGTCATTTAGTGTTTTCTATGTTGCATGAACCCTTTTTTTTTTAAAAAAAAATGTTGTAGAAGGTACTTTGTTAGTTTTTCATACTAGATAATTTTCCAATCTCTATCAGTAACTCATGTCATGGCTTGGATTTATTGTTTGCTCTGTTCTGTTAACTAGCAAATTTACAAGTTACAGCTTTTTTATTTTAGATTTTTCTGAACATGCTATAATAAGTTGATGGATGTGCAATACTGTATAATCTTTTTGTGGTTTCAGCAACTTCAGCTTGTTCTGTGGGAACTCCAGTGATTGGGGTGATTGATGGAAAATTCGAAAGTGGGTATCTTGTTACTGTCACAGTGGGTTCAGAGAAACTTAAAGGTGTACTATATCAGGCTCCACAAAACCCTGCATTGCCAACAATGCTGCAACATGGTAGTGTTCCAGTTAGTTACCTTAATACCTCACCAGCTGCTTTGGGTGTCCATCGACACCGACGCAAGAAATCTGAGATAAAAAAAAGAGATCCTGCACATCCCAAACCTAATCGAAGTGGATACAATTTCTTCTTTGCAGAGCAGCATGCAAAATTGAAACCACATCATCATGGGAAGGACCGAGAAATCAGTAAGATAATCGGTGAACTCTGGAACAAATTGATAGAGCCAGAGAAAGCAGTAAGTAATTTATTGAATTTTGTCTTTCTACATTTATGTTTTTCATATTTTTAAATTGATGTTTTGGTCCTCGAAACAGTCACTTCTCAATTTATTCCTTTTAAACCTTGACCTTTTCATCTTTTATGAATGAAGTCCTCACATTAAGCCTGCTAGCAAAAAGTGAAAAAGAAACAGTTACCTGGGCAACCAAAACCTAACAAAGCTTTTGAATAGGTAGTTGGTTTCATTTGTTCTTTTTCCTCCTTTGTTTTCTGGATTTCAATTATAGCTAAGCGTTCAACAGTTATGTCAAGTTGTGGTTAGGCCACATAAACTCTCCTTGGTGTTCACTGTCAGGCTTGATGTGAGGACTTTATTAAAGACAAAGTACTCTAGAATGTCAAAATTTGGAGGATCAGATTGAGATATAACGTATGTTTGAAGAACTAAAATGTGAATCAACACCCCAACACCCCCCCCCTCAAAAAAAAAAATTCAACATCTTGCGTGAATGGCTTTCCCTTGTCTCTAGGTTTATCAGGAGCAGGCTCTTAAGGATAAAGAGAGGTACCAAGCTGAAATGGAGGGTTATAGGGAGAAAATGAAAACAGGACAGGGTGTGGGTGATGCTGTGCCGCTACAACAACAAATTCCGGGTAAGGATATGATGGATACGGACTTAAAAGTGGATGAAACTGAGGGAGTAGTATTTCCTCAAACAGCAGATGAGAGCAGTTCTGGTGAAAGTGAATACGAAGATGATAAAGGTGCAGAGCATGATTTGGGCATGGATGCGTCTGCTGGAATGATAGGAGTGGGTGCCGAATCTAGCTATCTGGGTGCAGAGAAGCTATCAAAGGGGGGAGAAATGGAGCTTCAGAATAAAGAAGGGAATGATGATGGAGATCGTGCTCAAAAGATGGGTGAGAGCTCAAGCATGATGGCTATGCAGTAAAGAGCAGAGCAAAGGAGCAAAGAATCTTTATCAACATTTTTTAGTTTTGAGATGGCTGAAAATCTCAGGCTTAATATAGGCTAGATTGCCCAAAATGAATTAGGATGTTACAACTTTTGTTGGTGTTTTCAAGGATATTTTGGATGCTTATATGGGCGTCATTTTGCTGTAAATTTAGCATGATGCTATAGACATTCGCTAATGAAGCAATGGGTCTTGCAGGATTTTTGTTAAGTGTGTGTAGCAAGCAAGAATCTGATTTGTTTACATACGAAAATACTTTATTCTTTAACCTCGTTATTGGCCAACCTTGGATCTTTTGACATGCTCTGGGTATTTCGGAATCTAAATCTCCCTCATTGCCAAGGAAATGCTAATCTTGCTCTGGAAGTAATAAAAGTTGGTTGCTCAGACTTTAAAATAAAATAAAAGAGAAGAGCATCCGATGTTCAACAATAAAGTAGTTATACTGCTTATAATGGCGAGAGCATCAAATTTACCGGTGTTGGGAGCAGTCACTTTGTAGCCGTGCATCGAAAACCATTATAAAAGTGTATGAGAAAAAGAAGATAACTTGATTACCTAGGCGTTGAAGCACGACAATGGAGGTTGAGGATGAATGTTTGCTCAGCTATGCCATGAAGGGCCGATGGGGGGAAGCTGTGGAGGCATACAAGAGGAACCCAAAAGCGTTGGTGGCCAGGACCACAAAGTCAGAAGAAACAGCGATACACATTGCAATCTATGTGGGGCAGACCGAGTTTGTGACCAGCCTCCTAGATAAGATTGAAAAGGACGAGTGTATAAGAATCCTGAGCATGCAAAGTTCAAAGGGAAACACTCCTCTGCATTTGGCTGCAGAGCTTGGCAACCTGAAAATCTGCAGCAGCATTGCAGGAAGAGATTCCGATCTTATTTCGTGTCGAAACGTGCAAGGCGAAACGCCGTTGTTCTTGGCAGCTCATTATGGTAATAAAGATGCATTTCTTTGCCTCCTTGGTTACCTCAAAAACAAAGGTGACTACTCACTCTGCAGGAGAACTAACGGGGATACAATCCTTCATTCTGCCATATATGGTGAATTCTTTGGTTAGTTCATGTTATGAATTATTCGGAACTTCAGTTATGTTTTTCAAATGCTAGATTAATTACTATTCAATTATATATGTTCTTTTGATTGTGTCTTGTTGTAGATTTGGCATATCAAATAATTCACTTGTACCCAGAACTTGCGGGTTCTATAAATGAAGAGGGAGTGTCACCTCTCCATATCCTTGCCATGAAGCCTAACTGCTTTAAAAGCAGCACGAGAATGGAGACTTTTGATAATCTCATCTACCATTGTAAGATGTTCTCCTAATTTCCTTCAAGATTTCCCATGTAGTTTTAGTTATTTATCCCTCATTTTTCATATAAAAAAAATAACTTTAAGAATATTCCGAGCATAATCATATACACACATACTTACTGTAGAAGATTGTTGGTAATCTAATGAGGTTGTATACAGATTTTTCTCCTGAAGGCTCACGGCACTTGTGCTGGACTAAGGAAGTTTATCCTGCACAATTTTTAGGAAATTCTAGATTAATTAATGTTTTGATGGTCAGGAAAATGGGTTCTATTTATATATATATATATATATACACTTTAGACCAAGACGCTATATCTAGAAGTAGAATCTCTGCAACAATAATTGTTTCATGATAAAATCATAGAGAATATAACTCTACAGTTATAACACAGTTATAATTAAGCCCAATATGTCATTGAATTTTCGTCAGATGTACATGAAATTATAACTGTTCAAGGCTAATGAAATTTCTAATGACTAAGTTTATTCTTCCAGGTTTAATAGTGGATGAGTTGGAGGAGGAAATTGAGGGCACAAAGAGAGCAGATAGAAAACGAATTGAGTTTGAGTATCCAGAGAACTACAGAACGTGCATGGATATGTTAACGACTCCGAAGAATCTACTTAAAGTATTAAGTGAGTCAAATACATATTTTTACCCATAATACATCCTCTCAAATACAACAACTGGACTTGGCTCATTCTCTTTTGAATCCAGTTATCATATTTGATTTAACACTTGGGTCTCATGTGAACTTCACATTATCCAATCCTTTATTGAATTTGAAAGGAGAATGAAGCTCGATTGGTATCTGCTCATCCGCCATAACAGCTTAATTAAGCTAATTGGTTAAAATTGCCGCAAGTTTATTTGTGTGTGTGTGTGTGTGCCCTTTACTTTTCTTATGACTTTTAGATGCGCAACTTATTTCAAGGCTTATCTCCAACATAAATAGCTTAAGTTCATGTCTTACGTCAATGAAGCAACTGGCAGTACTGGTAGTGGTAAATCTGCAAGAGATGAAGAGAATCCCTCAGCTGGCAGAGACTACCTCAAAAGTACTGGTCGCATTTTATCCTCCATTATAGCTAACCTCATCTCATTATGTGTATCTATATCTATACCATAATGTCGTAATTCGTTATTGTTGTTAGATGCTAATTCTGGTTCCTGTTTTATGTAGAGAAAGCAGCAAGGAAGCAAGAGAGAAGCCACCGATTCCCTCTCAATTGTGAAACGGCGATCCGATTCCTGGTCCTTATTTTGAAGGTTTTTCTAATCATCTTCGGTGTAGGTAGGATTCTTTTCATAATCTGATACATATCATTAAAAAGGGAAAGCATCTTAGTCTCCATATATATATATATATAAATATAATTACAGGAGCATCTTGGGTAAGGAAAATCCAGAGAAGAAAAGAGAAACACGTGTGGGCAAAGCAAGTAATGGTGGAGCTAGTTCGACACGCTTCTTTCCACAGATATGAGAACACGGGAAGTACTCCCAAGTATCACAGCAAAAGTGCGAGAGAGGCCATGGAGAGTCACTTGACTGATCAGAAGAAGGGGATGATCATGGAGACACCAATACTGGTAGCAGCGAAGATGGGAGTGACAGAGATCGTAGAGAAAATACTGGACACGTTCCCACTGGCAATCCACGACGTGGACGCAGAGAACAAGAACGTGGTGCTTCTGGCCATAGAGAACAGACAGCCTCACGTGTTTAGCCTTCTGAGGAATATGGAGTTGGTGAAAGAGAGTGCTTTCAGGCAAGTCGATGCTCAAGGAAACAGTGCCTTGCATCTCGCTGCTTCTTGTAAGGATCATAAGCCTTGGCGTGTCCCTGGTGCTGCCATGCAGATGCAGTGGGAATACAAGTGGTATAAGGTTCGTGACAACATACATACATACATACATACATACATTCTCATACTTTTTTCAAGTTTTGTGTTTATTGTGATTTTTCAGCTAGTCAAGGAGTCGGTGCCGCCGAACTTCTTCTCTCGATACAACATTCACGGCGAAACAGCGAAGCACGTCTTCTTAAGAACGCACGGATTTCTGATAAAAGAGGGAAGCAAGTGGCTGACGAAGACGGCGGAATCGTGCTCCGTGGTGGCGGCGCTCGTGGCAACGGTGGCTTTCACCACGTCGACGGCCATCCCCGGAGGATCCAACCAAAACACCGGCGTGCCTCTGCTCGAAGGACGTCCTCTGTTCAACCTCTTTACGGTGGCGTCGCTGGTGGCGCTGTGCTCGTCGGCGATGTCCCTGGTGATGTTCCTGTCGATCCTGACGTCTCGGTTCCAAGAGAAGGACTTCGCTGAGGGACTGCCCAAGAAGCTTCTGGTGGGGATGTCGTCGCTCTTCACCTCAATCGCCGCCGTCTTGATATCGTTCTGCGCGGGGCATTTCTTCATCGTGCAAGCGAGTCTGAGAGTCGCTGTTTATCCCATATACGTTGCGACGTGCTTGCCGGTGACGTTCTTCGCATTGGTTCAACTTCCCCTCTACTTCGATCTGGTGCTGGCGATATGCAGGAAGGTTCCACAACGGAGCTACAAGGTCTTTTCTCACGAAATAGGATCCTCCAAAACATCCCACAAAGGGAAAGAGAGAGAAAAATTGCCATGAACCCATGAAAGCTGAGTTTTTTATAATTTGTAAAATAACGTAGTTTCATGCGGAGTAAAATGATGTACTGTTCCCTTTTGACTTTTCATCAGTTTATTATTGAAAATGGAAATTCAAATTACACTTGTTTTGTGGAATGAATCAGGATTTCTTTGCTATTTTATTTTAATTTTCTATTTACTATGTCTGTAACATTAATAGAATAATAGTGAAGCATGATCTTCATCGTCCAGGATAATCCTCCATCGTAAGATGGGTCAATAAAACGTTTGAAGAAGCAGGGTAAGTAATAAAATTTCCCGGCCTTTCAACAATTTTCACATGCTATCATAGTCCAACTATTTTAAACATATACTTTTTATTATCACTTTCGATTAACTAACTAACTTGTTTTATAACAAATTAAAAGATGATATTTTTAAATTAGATCAATATAATCAAATTATGAGATCATTCTTAAATGAAAGTTCACTAGATCTCTGTTGTGAAATTTTATTCAATCTGGTGTAAGATCAATGACAATATTATCTCTGCTGCTGTTAATGATGCTGTGCCACCAACAGAGCAATGGATTTGACTCAGATTTTATATAGAAGCCAATTGGGGTGTGTTTTTACTCTGATTGTGTGTGTGTGTGTGTGTGTGTGTGTGTGTGTGATATCATTCACTCTTATTTATTTTCATGGTCTGGATGAATGGCTTTCCCATTAATTGCATTTTGGTTTATCAAGAGAATGCTGGAATGGAGGATTATAGGGAGAAACTGACGACGACCAGATTGTAATTCATTTCAAGAATATTTTCGAAGCTTTGTGACGCATGGGGGCATCACAGATTGCCATAAATTTAGTAGGCTGCTATATACACATTCGCTAATTGAGCAGTAACTACGGAATTTTGGTTATTTTGGGTTTACAAGCAAGAATCTGAATTAATTATATATGATACAACAGTAATTAATCATTCCTTAACCCCATTACTTAGCTAGCAACTACACAAGAATCTTTTGGCATTCTCGGTGTGCTCTACACGTATTTTGGAACATCTAATTAATCTCCCTCACTGCCCACCGAAATGCTAATCTTGCCCCTGGAAGAAATAAAAGTTGGTTGGTCGATCGAACACTAGAAATATTAACAGAGTATCCTGAAGGTATAATCTTATATTTACTGCTCCTTTAATTTAGTTGTGAGCTACGTCGGATTCACCATATTACTTCCTAGTGTAATGCTGGAATCTCGTAACTTTGCCGCTCGAACGTGAAAAAAGCAGAGCATATATCTTGCGTGGTGACAGATTCACAATAATCATTTGCGGCACATAATTCAGATTGTTAATGCTTAAGCTAAGTAAATTTGATCCACAATACTTCATATTTAACAATGCAGGAATCTGTGAATATTCATCGGAGCATTGCGAGGGTTACATCTTTATTTATTCTCAATCGCGTGCAACACTATATTATCAATCCAACACTATGATCACGTTTGATTATTAAAAAGAAATAAAATGAAATGAATAAAAAAAATAAAAATAAAAATGAAATGATCAGGAGAAATAGTGATCCACATTTATAAAAAAATGAAATAATTTAGTTTATGAGATTTAAAATTATAATTTATGAAATTTTTGAAAGGTGTGCTAATTCTCACATTTATAATATATATTAATGAGTTTTATCATACTTACTGTAAGAAAGAAGGATGATTTAATTCATTTTTGTGTTATTTATTCCATTCCTTTTTATATTAACCAAACATGACCTATCTTGTGAAGAATCTTGAACCAACATAACATCACTCATACTTCTATACACATTTAATTTCGTGCATGGTAGCACGCTGTGACTAGCGAAGTAAGCTGCTCTCTATACGGAGTTTGATGTTGTTTTGTTGGATGATGCCATGAAAGGGCAATGGAGGGAAGTTTGGGAGGCATACAAGAAGAACCCAGGAGCGTTGGAGGCCAAGATCACAAAGTCGCGTGACACGGTGATCCACATAGCGATCTATGCAGGGCAGACCCATTTCGATGACAAGCCTGCTTGATCGCATCAAGGAGGATGATGACACGCGTATGAGAATTTTAAGAGTGCGAAACTCAGAAGGGAACGCTCCTCTACACTCAGCTTCAGATATTGGTAACGCAAGCATTGCAGAAACAGATAGTAATCTTTTGTGTCAAAACATGGAAGGCGAAACGCCGTTGTTCTTGGCGGCTTATTATGGAAGGAAGGAGGGACGCATTCTCTTGCCTTCATGGTTACCTCAACAACAAAGGCGACTGCTCAGCTTTCAGGAAAAGCAATGGAGGTACAGTGCCTCATTCTGCCATATATGGTGATTTCTTCAGTTAGTTCATGTTTGCATGTGTTATTTGTTAGACACGAGGGGAATTGAGTGTTTATGAAAATATTCGGTTCTTTTAATACTTTTCAACAAAACTAAATGTAAAAAAAAAATTTAGCTAAATTTAAATTCTAAACTTTGTTTATAAGAATGTTAAAGAAATCTTCACAAGCTCAATATGTGTAAAATTAATTTTTAAGTGAAAGTTTAAGTAAGAGCATGTAAATATATCAAATCTAATTCTGTATACTAAAACACATATAGCATTAAATAAGATTGCTGAAAATATAAAGAATTAAGAAAATAGAGAGTACAAACTATAATTTATCCTAGTTCAACTCCACCACTTGATCCAATGTCTAGTCCCCAAGCAAACATTTGAGTTTTTTTGCTATAACATAAGCTTAAGTGGGTGTTTGTTATCTCAGTACAACCACAAGTTTAATTCAAGCACTTGTAAGTCTTTACAACAACTCACTTACTAGGGAGCTTCTTTTCCCAAGAGAATAATCTCTCTTAATTAGAAAAAAATTTCTCCCTCACCTTTACAATGATTTCGATTATGTAAATTACTCAGTTGAAACTTTCTCTAAGAGTAATGATGAGTACAATGAAGTTTTAATATTCAAATGATGAAGATATAAATGATATTGGATCAAGAACAATGATTTTCGTATAATAAGAGTAATATGAACAGAAATTTAACAGCTTGATAATTTCTAAAATTAATTATTTTTAAGATAAGTTTGAAGTGCTATATTTATAGTTGAATGGGGTTGACCTAGAAGTATTTCTTGATCTCTAAAATTACCACAATGTGAATATGCATTGTTGATTTCTTCTTACTTCATATAAGAAAGGAGAGAGATTGATGGATCATAAAATACTAATAGTAGCCCATAAGAATTTCTCATCCAAGGGGGTCAAGTGTGTCAAGTTTGAAAAAAAATTTGGAAGCTAAGACTCATCTAAGTGGGAGTTGTTAGACTTAAAAATTACCGCTTATTTTCTCATTTGCTCCATTAGTTCATGCTTGTTTTGCTTAATGGACGTTGGAGAAGAAAGGTGAAGTGGCTTTGGAAATATTGTCCTTTGGAATTATTTTTTAATGGTAGAGAAAATACTGGACACGTTCTCGTCGGCCGTACAGGACCTGGACGCAGAGAAGAAGAACGCTCTGCTTCTGGCCATCGAAAACGGACAACCTCACGTGTTCAACATCTTGAGGATGAGAGACTTCGTCAAAGAGAGTGCTTTCAGGAGAGTTGATTCCCATGGAAATAGTGCTCTGCATCTTGCTGCTGCTTAAAAGGACCACCATAAACCTTGGCGTCTTCCTGGTGTTGCCATGCAAATGCGAAGGAAATACAAGTGGCATAAGATATTTTTATTATTTAACTAAATATAAATTGTGATCAGTGTTCAAAAATTCAAGTTGAGAACCATTTTTTCGAATTTGATTGATTTTCAGCGAGTGAAGAAATCGGTGCCACCCAACTTCTTCTCCCGGTACAACGTTCACGGCGAAACAGCGAAGCACTTGTTCTTGAGAACACACGGGTTGCTCGTGAGAGGGGGAAGAAAGTGGCTGACGAAGACGGCAAAATCGTGCTCCCTCATAGCGGCCTCCGTGGCGTCTGTGGCATTCACCGCGTCGTCGTCGTCTGCCATCCCCGGAGGATCCAACCTCCAAGGACGTCCTCTGTTCAACGTCTTCACGGTGGCGCTATGCTCGTCGTTGATGTCCCTGGTTATGTTCCTGTCGATCCTGACGTCGTGGTTCCTAGAGAAGGACTCCGCTGAGGGACTGTCCAAGAAGCTTCTGGCGGGGATGACGTCGCTCTTCACCTCACTCGCCGCCGTGTTGATATCGTTCTGCGTGGGGAATTTGTTCATCGTGCAACCTAGTTTTGAACTGCTGTTTATGCGGTATACATTGCGACGTTCTTGCTGGCGACGATTTTCGCATTGTCTCAACTTCCTCTGTACTTGGATCTGGTAATGGTGATATGCAAGAAGGTTCCACAACGGAGCTACAAGGTCTTCACTGACGAAATGAGACCCTTGGTATCCCATAGAGAGAGGGAAAGAGAGAAAATTGCGTCACGAACTCCACGGAACATTCTGTCACTGGCATGTTGGAACCAGTTTCACTATAGAAAATTAGAAATGAAGTCTCTAGATGGTTCATATCTTTTTTTTTTTTTTTATGTTTTAGATTTACAGTTTTTTAATGACTATTTATTAAATAAAAATTTATTTTTTAAAAAAACTAACAATTAAAAGATTGCCTTTATTTTAAATTCTATATCTATTTAAATAATTTTTTAAAAATAAAAATAAAAAGCTGTAAAGATAAAATATCCAGATTAAAACTATCTGGTTTGAAAACAATGCACTTTCAATGTTCTTTGCGATCAGTATTGAAACTCGTTCTGTTTTATATTTTGTACTGACAAGAACTTGCAGAAAATATTTTACATTACGGACCCCAAGATGCGAGACATGTTCTACTAGCTATTTATACTTTGAGATTGAATATTTTACGAGTAATAAGTTTTAAAAATAAATTTATACTATTTTAAAAATTGTCTTTCTAATATCTGTTTCCATATTTTATTTTTTGTCCAAGTAAAAACTTTAATGTATAAGAATACATTTTTTTGATTGAATTAGAATCAAATATTACCAAATCCAATTAAAAATAAATTTTTTTCAAAACTATTTTCTACGTTCCCGCATGTGCTTGTGCATTATAAATAATTCTTAAGAGTACCTCGTGTTAATTTTAAGGAATTATTGACAGATTTTATATTTAGGT